TTGTTCCAAAGTCACCGCCACCAGCATTGGGGCTTGTCTCCAAGGTCAAGCCAGCACCAAAGAACATCCTGGATGAAGAGACGAAATCCGACAATCATCCTGGTGATCGACCTGCACTTCCAAGGCGACCAGTGATGCGGCCTGTTCTCACATCCAATGATCGGTGGTTTGTAACATATGGATCGGATACAAACATCAGCCTCCAGAAGGAATCCGTACAGCCAGGATCTTTCGGAAGCTCAAAATTCCTGAAATTTGTGTACGAGTGCTACAGGGAATGCTCAACCATCCTTGATGTCAATCCGGATTTCCACTTCGTTCCTGAGCATGAGAGACCACATGGAGCCAAGGTATTCTGGTTGAAGGCCAGATTCAACGATTACTGGCATCCAACACTCCAAGGTGAAGGACCTCATGCGGAGAAGCAATACATGGACTTCATCAAGAAGGTCTACAGCAATTGCTGCTACACCAATGCTCAATCTGAAGTTTACGGAACCGACATCATCCCGCTCGAGAAGACCGTCCAGAATGTCGAACAGGTTTGCAAATACTTCCGCATGGATCCATCCAAGGCGAAACAGATCACAGATCTCATCCTCTGGCGAATTGAGAGAATGAGCAGATCACTTTCCGGATGTCTTCGACACGATCCAAGGCATGGAACCCATGAGGAATGCAAACGACCAGTGGACATGGGTCCTGATGGAACCGTCGAGCTCTATGACGCATTGACCTGCGTCACACATTCCAGGAACTTCATGGGAAATAAGCCAGGACTTCTCTTGATGGCTATGTTCCCGAGCTATGGAAAATCACGTTTCGAAATTGCATTCGTATTTCCATCCGTGGACGGGACATATAAGGAGCGCAAGGCACGGGGAGAAATTGTTCCAAGAAATCGATGGATCGACAAGCTCACCACGAGATCCGCACAAAATGGACTCAGGCCCGATGGCAATGAATTCTATGTCGATCCAGAGATGCAGTTCTATGTGAGATGCAACAGCGGACACACACGACAAGTCGAGATCCAATCCTTTGGACGACCCCTGTACTCTGAGCAGCAGAAAGAGCCTCATCACGACAAACCGGACTATGATCTACCAACGGAATCTATTCCGCCAAGTCCGCAAGATCCGAGGCGCCTCATGAAGATGAAGGCACAGCTCAGCCCAAGTACAGAAGGCGAAGGCCGGCACCACCATCCATTGAAGAAGAGAGAAAAATCAAGCCGTTCGCGAAGAAGCCCATCACATTCATGTTCCATGCAACCTATGGAAATCAGCTTTTCAGCATCATGGAGCACGGGCTCAAATCTGGGAAATCCCAGTCAAACCCTTCGGGGAGAACGCACGTCCACATGGCATGCATCGATGACGTCATCCTTGACGACGATGAGTCAGAAGCCGCATTGACCCATGTGCCAGCAGGAAGAGATGCACGGTTGATCCTTGCATTCCTCAAGGACCATGACTATGGCATCCGACTCTCCGAAGAGCGAATAGCGTTGACAGACAAAACCATCGAGGCAAGGAACATGGTTGCAGCATTTGAACCTGATGGCAGCCTCATGGCGAGCAACAAGTGGATCATGAAGAAGCATCTCAGTCATGAAGATTACGAGATGTACGACACCAAGATCCGCGAATTTGCCGATGCCTTCTTCAATTATGTGAATTCCACCAAGCACAGCAAGGAAAAAGATACTTCCTCAGAGACCAAGAAGAGACGGCATTCCACCGATCAGGACGAAGCTGAAGAAGAGACGATGGAACCCTCCGGGGGTCAAGCCAAAAGTCACCGTGGAATATCACAATTCAGAGAACCTAGATGAGTTCATCCAAGAACTCAAGGGAATCTATCTCGAAACAGATTTGAACAAAAAGGACGCAGAGGAAGAGCTCGCGGAGACCAAGGCTAAACTTTCCCGCTTCATGGACAAGTTCAACAAAGATCCAAGAAGAGCTCATCCCAACTTGACAGAGCGCGAGAGAGCCTCATTGGCACATGTCGATCCCGATGTCAATCTCGGAGAAGAAGAATTCTACTTCCCTCATCGAGGAGAATGTCCCACCATTGACGAGTACAAGCAAGCTCAACCAGGATCCGGATATCCGATCAAGCCTCCGCTTGGATTGAAGAAGCTCAGGTCACACGACGACCCGAAAATCATCCGAGCCTATGCCGATATCCTGGGATTCCTGATGCAGCCGACCGTCCTCCTGTGGACTATCTCAATATGCATGAGTTCACCTCATCCATAGCAATCAACATGCTTACCCTGAACCATGGAAACCTCACGAGGAATCCAAAGCTGTGAACCATGGAAACCTCACGAGGAATCCAAAGCTGGACAACAGGGAGGTGCACAACATGCCGATGAAGGATCGACCGATTCATTCGATACGGATACAAGGGCATCGTGATCAAGCAGTGGTCATCCAGACCGATCGCATGCTTTGTCCGTGGCGGACCTTCTGCAAGAGTGGAACTTCTGGCAAGACACATTTCCACCAAGAGCCAGAATTGGGGAACCACATTCGGAATGTTCAGATGCTTCTTCGGAACTGAAGGAAGTTGCACTGATCCCGAATACGAAATTCCGACCTCGGATTGCTTGGCAACCACAGGACCATCCATGTTTTCTGAATCCAAGAAGTACATTGGACCAAGATTGCCAACACGCACCATTGTCCAAGGACATGGCCGAAACAAGGAGATCGTCGTTCTCCATATCGAGCAGAGTGATGAGTTTCGTGGCATGCTCCCGAAATCATCCAACAAGTCACTCCATGAGTATGACGACCGCCACATAACGGGGGCAGATCTCCCATTCGCTACCATTGGAGTTTTCCACATCCATCCTTCAATTAGCCATGGAGCAGCAAGGGAAGATCTTCAAAATGAAATCATGCCGCTCGTGACTTTGTACCGATGCGATGCGATCACCGGAGACGCCAACAAATCAGCGAACACCTACAGCAAACTCCAGCACGTCTTCAATCCGGCCAACGGTCTCGTGAACATCCTCATGAGAGAATATCAGAGACTGTGGAATGAAACGAAAGATTTGCCACTCGTGGACAGAATGGAGTATGCAATGGAGACTTCGCGCACCCTAAAATCCATTGTCCGTCATCACCTCTACATGAAGTGTGGGTCAGGATATGATCGAACATTCCCAGACGTGATGATGACTTTCGTATTTGGATGGGGCGAAACCAGCAGGCTTTCCAAAAGATGAACGGCATGGATGATGAACAACTGGAATTCATGCAGAACCATCCAACCAAGGCCATATTCGATTACCAGGTCTCATCCGCAGAGCGCTTTAAGCACGTGAACAATGACATGTTCATGAATGTACATCCGCAGCAAATCTGCAACCAGTAAACGCAGCGCTGAAAGATACCAGGAGTACATCAAGAAGAAACAAGTCTGGACCCCGCAGGAGTACAAGGACTACAACAAGCAGTGGGGACGTCAGAAGCAGTGGAAGGACTATAGCAACTCGACCTGGAATGATTATGGAGACTATGGCAGTCAATCCGACAGCAGCCGCCAATGGTATCGTCGATCCGACTGACCATGAAGATTCATACGTTCAGCACCACGAACTCAATTCAGATGATTGATCCTCGCCGTCTACAAGACTATACCATGAGTGAGAGATCAATAGTTTCACAATCGTCCCTCGTGTACATAGCGTTGTACATCACCCTTTGATAAATCTAGGTATCTCGAAAAGAAGCAGTACATAGTGTTTTCCATTTCGAAAGCCAAGACATTTCATCCGAGCAGAAAAGAGGATGAAGCCGGCATTTTTAACACACATGGCTACGGCACACAGCATGGCTACGGCAGACATCAAAGGCTACGGCCAAAGGCCATGAAGCCAATAGTATTTCATACTTAGTGCTGGAGATCAAAAGAAATTTGTGTCTGTTTTGTGGTTGTTTCTCAGACCAGTTGATCTCCCGCAACATTTGGCTCAAGGCCCCTTTTGTGTATATCATTGCATCATCAATGATCGCGTGAAGCAAAAGAACCTTTGCAGGCTGCTTACAGGATTATCTACAAGACAATCCACCAGGGACAATCCATCCTCCAATCATCCACATTGGCATATTGGATTCTCTCCGGAATAGATCCAGGGACCAACAACGACCTCTACTACCACAGGGTACCACTTCCCTTCTGGGATAGGCACCTGGGGCAGTGGGCCTCACGCCCCCCCCCGGCTGCAAGGGCGTAAGCTTGTAAGGCTGTAGGCCTGTAAGGCTGTAAGGGTGGGCACACGCGCGAGCGAGTGTGCTTCTTGCGCGGCAGGCTGCGCATGCAGCAGGCTGCGCATGCAGCGCTGCGTGTGCGCACATGGGCGGCTGTCAGGCTGCAAGGCTGTAATGCTGCAAGGGTGTCAGGCTGTAAGCCTGTGAAGTTGTAAGCCTGTAAGGCTGCAAAGCTGTAAGGCCTGTGGGGCTGCAAGACCTGTAAACCTCCAAAGCTGTAAGGCCTGTAAAGAGGTGAGGCCTGTAAGGCGGTGCAGCTGTGAGGCTAGAATGCGAGGGCGTAAGCTCGCAAGACTGTAAGGCTGCAAGCGTGTACAGGCGCAAGCTTGTAGAGGCTTGAGGCTGTCAAGCTGTAAGGGTTTAAGGCGGCGTGGCTGCCAAGGTCAATTTGTAAGCGCGCAAGGCTGCCAAGCTGTAAGACCCATGGGCCAGAAAGCACACGGCGGAGGTAGAGGGGGATCATCACGCGCACTCGCACTTGCAAACCCAGTAACTATGCCGTTCACTTTCCAGTCACGACGGACTGCTCCGTCCAGGCCCAGCCCGTGGAACCTTGCAGCAAGCCTGAAACTTGCTCCTCAAATAGCCCAGCCAAAGTTTTGCTTTGCCCCATTCCCAGCACAGGCAGGAAGCAGACGCAAGTGACAATTGGGCCTGCGAAGCCACACCAGGACCTTTGATCAACTTTCAACTGGATCGGTGAAGGGCCTTTGAGCCCTCCATAGGTGCGCCCGCGGAGACTCGATGCAGGGCACTGCCATGCGGCACGTCCCAATAGGTCATCTCCCCCTCCTAGCGGGCTCGAAGTGCAAACCCCCAACCTTGCGGGCAAAAACAAGCAAAAAAAAGCAATTCGAATCCCAGTTTAACCGCCACCTCAAGGCCGTCGTCAACCCACAATCAAGACCCCTCTACGCTGAATGCGCCTCAAGACTGGAGACGCACGTGAACGGAACAGGCACAACCTCTTACAGGTGACACAGAATGAGAGAGAGAGAGAGAGAGAGAGAGAGAGAGAGAGAGAGAGAATCCATAAGGATGGGGGCCGGCATCTTTGCTGGGCCAAGTGGAAAAGCCACAGTAAAGGTCGGAAAATAGATTGCAAGAAATACATTCTGAGGTGTCACTTCCAAGCGTCTGTTGGTCCATACAGGTTTGTGAGAGTGGAGTGGTGGAAGCGCGAGAACATCTTCCTCAGCAGGCCCGAGTGCGTCGCACGCAGATTTGGGCAACTCAACTAAGTCCCTCAATGTGGCCACATTCACATTGTTGGAGAAGAAAATCACTTTTGGAGGGGGTTCCCTTAGGATGGACCCAGGGTAAGGCGCGGTGACAACAAAATGCATGACGCAAAACATAAGCGTGCGTTGCCCCTTTTACCTTCAGGGTCACCTGCGCGCGCTTCGCCGCCAATCCTCAATTTTGCCAATTGTGACCCTAAGCTGAAGAAATGAACTAACCAGATTCGTCGCAGATCCAAACCCCAGATTTCTTCGTGGAACTGATACCACTGATCAAGACGCCAACTGAAAGTGCCATCCATACAAGCAAAGCGATCGTAAATCTGCTCAAAAAACTGCTCAAGACAAGATGCTCTAACAGACTCTAACATCTCAAAAGACACTGCTCGAACCCACAAATGGCCGCCACGACGGCTTGATCGGCGTAGGAAACAATCCCTGACAAAACGTGGCAAACGCGGCGGCTCACAAACATCGACCACCCACGCTGAATCTTGAAAGGACAGACGCAGCGCAGGATCCAATGCGCGGCTGTGGGAGGAAACTCAACCAACCTGTGCGCAGAATTGTTACTGTTTAATTGAGCTTTATGTGGGGATGCTATCTTGCCCACAGCTACTCCCCGCAAGGGCTCCAAAGAGCTCAAAACGCAGCAGCCCAAAAAGCCCGCAGACCTTCTTGGGCTAGGCCAGCGGCGACCAGTTCGATGCCTTGAGATCCAAGGATGACCACCCCCCTTCCTGGAATTAGGGATACCCCTTTCTGAAGGCGTTACAAGCTTTGATTTTTAAGTCAGCAGAATAACGCCAAAACACGGGCTACTGCTTCACCTGTTTCGCCACCACTCTCATTTTTAAGCTGAGGCGTGCGAATGTCGTGGGATGAGTTCCGGACTTGCGCTGGGTGCCAAACAAAACATATTTTCAGAAACACACACAAACTCAGTCACGACATGTGCACCACCCGCTACAGCTGACGCGCAATATATCACTTCAATCTAGTCAAGTTCTCACATGAGGAGTTGCCCTTACTTCGGCCTTATTTTATAAAACCATCACATGCCGTGTTTGAGGTCGCCCTTATGTTAGCCTTATTTCAGACTTATTCATGAATTATTTTCGCCTGATTTCAAATCTGGGGCTTGCCCTTATTTTGGCCTTCTGTTGACTTGATTGAAATGTTGAAATCAGGCGGCCTTGTGGTTTGCTTTCTGTTGGACTTTAGGTAGGGTTTGGCCCTTACTTTGACACAGTTTGTACTTCTTGTGGGGGCAACGCAATCCCAAGTGTTTGCATTCTGCTACCGTATAGGGTCCCAGGGAGTGGCGTTGGGCTGCTTGAACGATGGAAAGGGTCCAGTTAGCACTGGTCTCATCGTAGCCCCAGTCATATTGCCTTGAGATGCCGGTTCCACAGCAGCCTTGGGTCGCTGTTGATTCTCGGCGTGATGACACAGCGAGTCTGCCGCGTGGCACTTGTTTGTCTACCAAAACGGCACTTGACCCACCCCCAAGACTAGCCAGTCACGATCAGGCATGTTGCGCACCGGCACGGGGAAGTGCTCTCGATGGCCACCGCCCAACCGTTGCCAAACAAGGGGTGGAACGAATCCACATGGCCCGCCTTGCGTGTTTTGCTACGATTCCGTCAGAGCCGGATGTTGCGCGCGGGAGCGCTGTCAGCAGAGCTACTGTAACCTTACCCAAGGCTTCTTGTTGAGACTTCTTGCGCAGTTGCTTGAAAACTCCGGCAACTTTCAGTACCAGCGCACCAAAGCCCATTAAGCACAGGCGTGGAATGAAGCGCGTGTTGCCACGTCGCATCAGCCCGCTGCCTTAACACATTTGAGAGGGGCGCGACGTAATTTCAGTTGAGTTTAATGCTGTGTCCAGCCAATGTTCAGCGTTCTCGCCAGACTGTTGCAAACCGGGTTGAGGTTCTCACGCAGCGGCTCAGACAGACCAAGCTAGGCCTCGTCGCAGCGCAAGACCACATCCGTCACGAAGCCACGGATGCGTGGTTGACTCCTTGCCACGTTACCACACAGGTCGAATGTTGGGTTGACCTGCAGCAGCCCTATGGGTGTCATCATAACCGGCCCCTCTTTTTCAACACCCAGCATTTTTCGTGGATCAATGCGCATTGTCCGCGCATTGAAAAAGGGATGGGGTCGTGTCCGGAGCATTTGCAACAGTCACCCTGCTGGGGCGCATCTTGGCTTGCATTGACGCCCGCGCCCGCCTTGGCGTTCACCCGAGTGCGAGCTTGATATCACAACGCCCTCCACTTTTTCGAAGCGGCATCGGGGGGAGGGGTGTAGCTTCACGCCCAGTGTAGGTACGCAACACAGCGCCGACTGTGTAGCAAAAAGTCCCTACTACACCACGCAGAGCCAAGTTGCGTGAGTGCTGGCGAGCCACACTTGAGGATCAGCATGAACATTTCCCTAGCCATTGGCTTGCTGATGCGTCACACACTTTCTTAGCCTCGCTCAGCGTTTCGGCAAGCTGCTGCTGATGGGTGTTGCGTGAGAAGGAACGCCCCCAACAGGTTCCTCACAGAAGAGTGCCGAGCAACTCCTTGAGGCGACAATTGCGCCGAGTTCCCTGTGAACGGTATTTTGCGCGTGGAAGCAGTACCAATTTGGAAAGCTAACCAAATGTTCCTATATTGAAAGCGCATCGCATGAAACAGGCGACACTTATACGACCAGTCCTGCCTATAGGCAGGACAAGTTGCAGCAATTGCGGGGGGGCTCGTTGGTATTGGGCTGCTCAGCGTTGTTGAGCAACCCTGTGGTTCATCAATACCTCGCACGAACCAGGTTGGGAAGGCGTAACTTGCATGAGTTCAGCAGGACTTCCAATTGGTGGTGGAGCCATCACGCCTCCAAAAAAATTCGCGAAAATAGGATCGTGGCAAATACTTCTGCGCTGGTCCCAAGTGGACTTCAGGACGAGGGTCTTCATGACGACCGGCCATTCCTTGGCCTCCTTATTCAGCAGCTGAGATTTGCCAAGATGTTTGGCGTCGGGGAGAACTTGAAGACCCCGGGAGTCAGACCGCCTCAAACAAAGATGAGGCAGCGGAACCCCGAAACAAATCTCAGGATAGCTGAGCTGGGGAACGGGTTGGAGTTGTTATGGTTGTTGATGGGTGGCGCAAAAGAGAGTTAAACTGGGTGTTGAAGCGCAGACGGTAGTTCACCACCAAGTGCAGGGCGGCCGGAAGCTTAGGCGCCTTAGGCGCCAGGGGCCCGAACATGACCCGACGTGCAATCATGAAGCTCAGTGGTTCGCCAAGGTGGCATCACCCGCTTGGATTGAGTTCCCGCCACCATCGCGAATAAGTGGGATTCACCAACTTCCCTCGCGTGTCCCTCATATATTGAAGAATTGAACGATCAGGTAGTAGTGAATCAAGGCCAGACATGGTCCAATCAACATGAGATGCAACACGAACGAGCATAAGAAACGAGAATGAAAAGCTGACTACCAGCAATCCGGCGATATTTTCGCACGAATGAGCTCTCACGTGGACTGTGTGAAGAGGGGCATCGCCGGGGTGCACGGCCGCGGTGCGGGAGAGACATGTTCATGAGCTGGCTGCGGCTCAAGGGAAAGATCAACGCAGCCGTGCTCAACGAGGAACATGATCATCGTGCAGGGATCGAAGGCATCCGTGACGTACGGCGGGACAGCGACGTGCTTCGGCGTGACCGGGCGGCAACACACACTTTGGCACACGCACGGTCCAGATAAGGCATGATTACCCAAGAGGGCTGCCTTCTCGTTCCCTCCGCCCCTTCCCCGCACCCGTGCCCCGCCCATCGTCCCAGCCCTTGCATCCAGGCTCGCCTCCTTGCCGGTCGAGCTGCGTCTGCGCTCCTCACGAGACCGTCATCACGGCGACCACCCCCGCGGTCATCGCAGCCAATCACCATAGCGGGCGCGGAGCCCTGGAGCTACAGGTGTCGGATTCCAATATCACTCATCAACGGCAGGGCCGATTCTGTCGAGTGGAATAGGAATGGACAGCCCCGATGATTTTGGGGGGATGTTGGGGGATCTCCCGAGTGTGTGACTTTTCCGTTAATGCCGCCCCAAGAGCAATGAGGCCCAGTTTTGGGAGGAGCAATTAACGGACGGGCTCCCAAGTTTCTGACTGCACGGTCCACGCCAGTTTCGGGAGGATCTCTGGGCACGCGCGATTAACTGACAGGGTGAGGTGTGACTTTTCCGTTAATGCTGCCCCAGGCAGTCACTGCCTACCGACGTCTGGCTTTCTTTGCTGCCGCCACGCTTGAGCTCGTGGCTGCAGACAGCCCCGACCCACAGCCTGCAGCGGCAGCAGGCGGGAGCCTGGTTAATCCGGCTACACCTCCTGGAATAACATGTCGCCGCTAGGCTGCTAGCTTTAGCTAGAGGGGCTGCGCCCTGGTGCCGCCGGCGGGGCGCGGGGCGTGTGGGGTGTGCTGGGCCGGGGGGGGCGGTGGGGGGGGCTTTGGGGGGGCAGGGGGGCGGTGGGGTGGGAAAGCCTCACAAAACATCGCGCACATGTAGGGTCCAGGCCATGTGGCTGACATCGTCAGGGTCTGGGGTTGGGCCTGGGTGATGCTTCAGCGGAGCTTGGTCTGCATCATCAAGACTTCCTTCTGCCTCTCAACCCATGAAGCACTGTCGGAGGGATATAAGCGAGGCATTCCGGCGATGCTGGGCCCTCGCTCTACAAAACACTGTAAATACCGCCAAAAACTGATGCGCTGAGCGTTGGGCTGTTGTTCTGTCCGTTTTGCTTTGCTGTGGCTGGCTCGCGCGCTGCGCGGCCCTTGCTTTTTTCCCGTTGGTTTTCGGGCCTTCTGGCGCGCGCGCGCGCGCGCGTGACCCCAGCCACAAAACGCTGCTAATTACGGTGTTTTGTTGCATTTGCGTTTCCGGTCTGGCTTGCGGGTGT